CAGAATTTTCAGAATTCGTACTACGTCTAGAGCCGCAGTATTACCCGAGGTGGTAATTTCCCCCTTTACACCGTATGTAGATACTGCGGCGCCTGGTCTTCCGACCCTCACGTGTTTCCGGAGTTACCTTTCCCGTCTCACAATATCGACTAATTTATTTCTTATATTGCATATAAATTTATGATTCGTCATGAGTTTCTTCATTCGTCATTAATTATGGTTTCGTCATTCATCAGGCATCATTACCCGAGATGTATAGTAAATTATTCTAACCAGAGTAATACATCCGGGTAAAGCTTTTCTTAACGATAAAAAAGGTATAAAATCTATTTCAACTATTAGAATATTATTCATTTTCACTTAAACATTTTATTTACATAATTTATGAAGATACATCATGGGATTAGTGCTGTTCGCTGCAGGTCACGCTAATCACATGACGAAAGTTCAAAGAGCATCGAACGAAGTTAGATTTAAACCAGCACTGTATGTGACCGGGCAAATACAAGATATGCCGCAGTAAATTGAGCGTCGAGAAGCACGTTATCAAGCAATAGTTGTACAATTTTTTTTTTTTAGGGGGGTAGGAGATAAAACAATGGGCAGCGAAAGAATCAAGCACTTCCGTTCATCCCTTAATTATATTCCCTTAAATTACTATTCATAGTCTCCCTTCTGATTTCTTTCACCTTCCTTATTTGGTTTCACGTGTTCATGGGTGATCCTCGCGATAATAACCCTTATGCTGACTACGTCAGCTTACCGGCCATTCTAGAATCCTGTAATTGTTTCTAAACTCCTGATAAATTTTAGAGTCAATTCTAGATTCAATTATCGATTAAAATGATTTCATAAAATCAATGCATACCCCTACACCAATCTAGTATACAATTGCCAGATGCTTTATAATCTAATTTTTCTTCGAATTGATAAATAATATCTTTATAGTTTTTCATTTAAAACTTCTTAACAGTTACGGCCATACACAGTGAAAAGCTCCGGAACCCGTCCGATCTCCGAAGATAAGCCACTGATGGCCCAGTCAGTACTATGGTTGGGGACAACATGGGAATAGTGGGTGCTGTAACTTTTTTTTTTCTATTTCGTATTTATAGTAGTTAAATCATGGCGTTAATAAATTTTATTAAAGATCATTCAAAATTTTACTAAGAAATCTATTCCTTATTAAAATTTGTTTATAAAATAAAAAATAAAAAAATAATAATTTTTTATATAAAGTTTGCTTAAATTCTAACCTATATCAAATATAGCCCTGGTTGAAATTTGCTTAATGCTGGCCGTTATTTATATTTCGGATCTGCTGCAACAATACCAACTCAAAATTAGCCAATGAAATTTAGGATCAGATTTGCCTTGTCGGATTAATAAAATTTACAAATTGATTGTTCTTGGTCACATTATTTAATACAGCTTAATATGACTCCAAGAACTAAATACCATGGAAAGAGAGTTGTACTTATTGTAGTTACGATTGACAATACGATAAATATTCTTACACAGAACGTTCGAGGTTATGATTTATCGATTATCTTTTATATTGTATAACATGGGTTTTATAAGTAAATCATGATATGATATTTTGTATAACCTTATGTAATGGCCTTTTTAAAATCCCATAATTGAAATATACTCCAATTTGGAGTGGATAAAAAATTTTTCGAGTTAAAATTATTTAGGTAATAAAAATATAGTAATAGATGTTGTATGTCATTTATATCGTTATGTAATTTATTAAACCTCATATGAAATTTCTATTTGGGTCATTAAAGTAATATTACTGCCTACAAAACCTTAGTGCGTGAGCTCAACTATGCAAATTAAATTCATATGATCTTAATTTTATTAAAAAAAAAGATAGTAAAATTTAAACATATGTACAGTATATACTTAACGCATTATATTTCAATATAAAATAATATCGAATTTCTACTACCAAGGTATCCCTTGTAATGATGCCTTACAAAACTATTTTGACCATGACGAAATGGTTTCACCAATGGTTTCATCTGATGAAGCTTTGACGAGTGACAAAACTATAGACGTTTGACGAAATTACTGACGATTGACGAAACTCTTGACGAAATTATTTTGACTAATAAAATATCAAAATACAGTTGACCCTCAGTCGATAAGTTTCATTATAGCGACCTCTGGATATTGTGAATCAATATTTTTTCCAAATTACTGTTATTTCATCATTATAAAGATTCATCAGATGAAACCATTGGTGAAACCATTTCGTCATGGTCAAAATAGTTTTGTAAGGCATCATTACAAGGGATACCTTGGTAGTAGAAATTCGATATTATTTTATATTGAAATATAATGCGTTAAGTATATACTGTACATATGTTTAAATTTTACTATCTTTTTTTTTAATAAAATTAAGATCATATGAATTTAATTTGCATAGTTGAGCTCACGCACTAAGGTTTTGTAGGCAGTAACTAAGAGGTTCATAGAAAAATACGGAAGAGAGTTATTTTAAGAGGGAAGTAGCAAAGTGAAAAAAATAGAGGAGATCTTCAATGAAGCAATTGCATCAGCAATGAGAATTAATAAAGAAGTAGTCATAGTAGCAAGGCAATGGAGAGAAGCAATAAAAAGAATTGCTACACTAGAGGGCCTAGATAAAGTAAAAGAAATAATGACACAAAAAGATAAGCAAGAAGAATTAGTTATAGAAGAAAAGAGTACAAGCAACACAGAAGTAGAAATGCAAATGGAACCAATAACAAATATAGAGAAGCATGAACAAGAAGAAGATACAGTTGTTGAGGTAGAGATAAAAGTAAACAGAACCGAAGAACAAGACGAGAATGATGAAAATGAAGAAGAAAAAATAGAAGACATTTGAATAATTAAAGAAAGCCTAGAAATCAAGCCAAGAAATGATATAGTTAAGGAAAAGTTCGATCAACTTGAAGAATATTTCAAGGCACGATATAGCAACTTATCACTAGATGAAAGCATATGGGCACTCAAAAAAGATGCATGTAAAGAAGAAGATACATATAAAGCAAAAGTTGCAGTAATCAATATATTAGACGACAACGCAGAGTAAAGAGAAAAGTGTATTAGATAGTCATTGAGAGGAACCAAGCACTTAAGAGAGATTAATAAAAGATTCGCAAAAAGAAATTTATAGTGCATCTTACACTTCAATTGCTAAAGAGGTTATGAAGAAGCAAAAGCTAAATTTGAGAGCAATAAAGAAGAGTACGAGCAACTAAATCTAATTCTAGAGGAAGCACTATTAAAGAAAGCAAATAAAACGAATAATCAAGCAAAAAGAGATAAGAAGAGTAAAAAGTCAGAATACAAACAAAGAAGAAAGAAAAAAGCAAGCAAAGATAGAACTAGAAGAGATTGAAAGAAAAAGAGGTGAACTAAAAGAAGAACAAGTGAAGATCCAAATAAATCAGATTAAAAACAAAGGAAAAGAAAAGATAGTATATGAAGAAGACAAAATAGAAGGAAAAGCACAAGCAAAAAACATCACCATAGAAGTAGAAAAGGATGAAAATGATACAAGATATCAAAGAAATAAAGAGAATAGAGGGAGAAGTATTCTAAAGGAAAAGAGAAAGCAATACTATGATGAAGAAAGTAGAGGCCCAGAAGGTTCAAAGAAAAGAGATTCGAATCAAGAAGGACCTAAAGTGAGTACAAGCAGAGAAGAAAAGGCAATAACAATGTGGAATATTCTATTATATATTTCAAGAACTCAAGTATTCAGAGCAGTAATGCACATAAGAAGAGTTACAAATATCGAGATGATTCAAGAAGGCCGTATGAAAATGAGAGCAGAAATCATATTTGAAGAATTGAGAATAAACAACCAAGAAAGAGAAGTCTAGGCTATACCATTATTGAACAATGTACTAGTTCATATCATACCAGGACTAAACAGTAGAGAAGTTCTTGAAAGCTGAAAACAATATATGACAAAGCTATATAATATCCCAAGAGAAGCTAATGAAGTACTTCTGTTTAGACAAATTAAGCACACAGAAGCAAAAACAGTACATATCTTCAAAAACACAAATAGAAACAATAAGAGATTCGCTGTTGTTTCATTTAAAAGTAAAAAAGAGTTAGAGCAAGCAAGAAGATATAGTATTCGATACTATGATACAAGACTCTTCTGGGAAAATGCAGAAGCTAATGCTAATGAAAAAATATACAATAGAGCAAGACAAAAGAGAATGAACTTGGAGCAAGAATGGAGAATCAAGTGGCACGAGCAAAGTGATATAAATAAAAAAGAAGATATAGCCAACAGCTATGAGAATAGAAAACAGTATGATAAGAAAG